AAGTATGCACTCGCGAAGTTCAGAGTCTATCTATTAGGAGATAGACCCTTCGTTGTTTACACTGACCATGCGTCATTACGCACGGCAGTGAACAGCCCGCACCTTTCACAACGAATGGCGCGGTGGTTGTCATTCTTTGCGGAATACAACTTTACAGTCGAGTACAAACCAGGACGACTTAATGTCGTCGCTGATGCACTCTCACGTCGTCCCGACTTTGAAACAGTCGCGAAACCCAACAGTGAGACAGTCACTGTTGCGGTTATGACGTCCTCAGTCCCATCTACAACGTTGTATGATGATGTGAGGCGGGCATACGCCCAAGATGGTGAGATAGTGAAGTTGTTGTCACATCTCTCCCAACCATCTCGAGAATCGTTGAAACGATTGTCGTCTGCGTATCGATCTGCATCAGATCGATACACTACTCGTAACGGTTTACTGTACTATACAGCCGTTTCTGGTGACACATCACGTGTTGTCATTCCAGATGATACTGATCTGCGTTTGCGGATCATGTTCGAGTATCACGATGCTCCTATAGGAGGACAATGTGGCCGAGAGAAAACATATCTCACGGTACGTCGAGACTTTTACTGGCCCCGCCAGTACCAGTTTGTGCGAAAGTATGTTCGCGCATGCGAAGTCTGTCAACGAGTGAAGTCAAGTCCTTCACTGCGTGCACCTTTACAGCCTCTACCGGTTCCGGCTGAGTGCTGGGAATCCATCTCCATGGATTTCGTCTTCGGGTTACCCAAAGACGCACGCGGGAATACGGGTATTCTCGTTTTTGTTGACAGATTCAGCAAAATGGTACACCTTGTGGCTGTACCAGAGACAATCACGGCAAGTGGCTGTGCTTGTGTCTTTATTGACACCATCTTCCGACTTCATGGGTTGCCCCGTGAACTCGTATCAGACAGAGATCCACGATTCACTGCTGATTTCTGGCGTTCCGTGTTCAAATCACTCGGAACGCGCTTGAAGATGTCAACATCTGATCATCCAGAGTCAGATGGTCAGACGGAACGTGCCAATCGTGTCCTTGAAGAGATACTTCGAGGATACGTACACTCCTTTAAGAGTTGGAGTGAGTTTTTGCCAATGGTAGAGTTTGCCATCAACAACTCGGTGCATGCGTCCACGACACATACACCGTTTTACGTGAATGGCTTGCGCCATCCGCGTGTACCCACCTTACTAGAGTGTAACTCTGGTTTAAGGGGGGAGGGACTCGCGCGAGCAAAAACCGATTTGGTTCACGCTCATCACGCTCTGACGAAGAAGTCATTGCGTTTGATGCCGATATCGATAACATCGATATCGAAGAAGTATGATGACCAGTGAGAGTGCGGAAGCCCTCACTGAAGACGATGATCCCAGTGAGAGTGCGGAAGCCCTCACTGAAGAAAAGGTTGATGTTGCTGCAGTGCGCTCACAGCACACTGAAGCTAACGAGTCATCAGATGAGTTCATACTGGCTCGTGAAACGGTAGTCCGTTTTGTGCAAGACTCCATCGCCGAAGCGGTGGATAAGCAAAAGCAAAACGCTGACAAGAATGGAAGGGCAAACACTCTTTTATTTAATAAAGGTGACTTAGTCCTACTGTCTACGGTTAATCTACCAAAGCATGTAGTAACTTACTTGGGTAGCAGTAAACTACTACCCAAGTACATCGGCCCATTTCGTGTATTGCACCGCCTAGGCAATGCATACACGATCGAGTTACCACGTAAGATGCGAACGCATCCCACGTTTTACGTTGGTCGGCTTAAGCCGTACCATCAGTACGCTGCTTCTTCCGATGAAGAACGCCCTTGCGCTCAAGCATCTCGCAGAGAGCCTTGTGCTCCCGATGGTGGGCATCAACAAGGGTCTGAAGAGCAGCTATCTCATCCCGAGACCGATCAGCAATCCCACGAGCTACCCTTAGCTCGTCACGAAAGATGTCAGAGATCTCTCGTTCTCAAGCTGAGCAAAGGCAAACTCAGCTCGATGCTTCGAGACAGTGTCCCCCATTTGGAGACGCCTATTCCGCTCATGCTCGAGATCGTCGCGTAACCCTTGCGTTACGCGATCAAAAGAAACTCTCGGGAACACACCGATCCACATGATCGTGTGGAGAGCGTCTTTCCTCCTCCCTCCACCTCCATTGGAGGACTCTCGCGGTGGCCAGCGCTATCTAGTTGAGCAGCTGTTGAACCACCGCGACGTGAACGGGCGTCGGACGAGTTATCTCGTCCGGTGGCGCGTATATCCCCCGTCCTGGGATTCTTGGGAGCCCCGCTCCCAACTGATGATCGACGTACTGGGTCTGGTTGAGCAGTACGACGCGGCACATCCTGTGCCGCAGAAGGACCGCCGGAGAAAGTCTTCCCGGCACGGTCGTAAAGGGATTTCAGGTTGTCAATCCCTTCGTACATCTCAGTAGAGACACGTACGCGCCACCACGGGCTGGTAAGGGAGGTAAGCCTCCTTAGGTGCTCGTGCAGAGTTGTTCACACAACATGGGCACGAGTCTCCCCAAGAGAGGCAGGGTAATCCTTTCTCCCTTGACAGACGATGCAGCTTGTAGCGTGCACCTGTCGGGGTTCGCTTTTCAAACTTATCACGAGCTTTGATAAGTTTGTCGTTCCAAGCGTCACGACCTACATCCTCGGGGTTATGGATGTAGGCGTTCCACGCCTGAAGTAGTGAGGGACCATCACGTTTGTGATTCCCCACTGTACCATCGATGTCTAAAAAGCATCGATGAAGAATTCATGTTCAGCGCGATAGTTTTTCGCGCTGGGGTCAAGGTGATGGATCCTTGACGAATCGAACAATCGTGTTCGATAACGATCACTCGTCGTCGCCGACAAGTGATCCATGACTGATTTAGGAGGCATCCATGCCTTCTTTTCTGGAGCGAGACGCAACATTTTGCGGTCCCGCTCTTCCTGCGACGTGCCGACAGAAGTACTGGCACCTCGCTGTGAAGTGGTGTCCATAGGAGAAACGACACCACTATTGGCGCCCGAGTCTCGCGACCTCGAGCGCCTTCGCTTCGGCGATGGTTCATCTGATTCATCAGATGAACCAAAGATGCTACGACGCAAAGCATCGTCCATGCCACGCTTGGCAGGCGGCTTAGATTCAATCGCCGTCGATACGGATCCGTCATCCGTATCAGGAGAGTACGAGACACCGAGCTCGTACTCTGTGAAGACACGAGTGTCTTCATGACCAGCGCCTGCATCACCAAGTGACACAGGCTGAGTCGCTTCAGCAACCGATGAGACATCAGTTGCTGTTGTTTCTGCTTCGGCGTCCGCACAGGGACAGTGCGAGACGCGCTCTCGGCGGCCTTGCTCGCGCATCGCATGGGCTTGTTTACCATGCGATGAAATGTTGGAAAGTGGACGCCGACCAACAAGTGCAAACCCTGTCCCAAATGATTTGGGACGAGTATCCATTTAGTCAATCAGTCACTAAAGTGACTGATGGTTAGGGGGGTGATGTAACAGGGGTGAATCGTTACATAACAATTTATAAGAAATTGTTAATAGAATATAACTATAAGAGTTATATTCTCAGAATATTGTCATAAGGACAAATATTCTGTAGCACTTACAGTAGTTCCTAATATTGGTTGATATAGGCCATTATATCAACAAACGAAGACGCGCCACGACAGACGCACGCAATGAGTGGTGAGCAGATAGTTGATTTGCACATTTGTATTTAGACATAGTTAGATGAAGATAAATAGTGATTTATTGCAGACATTAACTATTATAAATACAGTTCTACTTTTACTCTAACCAAGTACTCGCTTCTTCTTACCGTCTTCCTCTGCACGTACGAGTGTACGTGAGGTTACAGGGCACCGCCTTATTCTGTCATCAGAATAAGTAGCTTGTACTGTCACCAGTACAAGCTTCAGGGTGCCCCGTTACACCCTGACACATGAGGCCCACCTTGAGCTTCTGTATGCTTGCCTATCTATCTATCTATCTATCTATCTATCTATCTATCTATCTATCTATCTATCTATCTATCTATCTATCTGTCTGGGTAGTCTTTCCTTCGTGTGTTTGAGAAATAAATCAGAGTTCCGACGACAATATCAGTGAGCGAGCGGGCATCAACGTGAGTCCTGTACTGGATATGATGCGCCAAGCATTGCGGTATATCATTCGAATGTAGGCTTGAAGACCGACGGATCAGCATATACGGTACGGATCACGACGTTCATCCGACAAGCCTGCATGGTTGTGAGCATGGTTGTCGACTACGGCAGCACGTTGTATGACGAGACTCTCACGCGTGCCCGAAACACGGTTTATGTGTCGCATGACAGAGACTGTAACGGGGCACCCTGAAGCTTGTACTGGTGACAGTACAAGCTACTTATTCTGATGACAGAATAAGGCGGTGCCTCGTAACTTCACGTACACTCGTACGTGCAGAGGAAGACAGTAAGAAGAAGCGAGTACTTGGTTAGAGTAAAAGTAGAACTGTATTTATAATAGTTAATGTCTGCAATAAATCACTATTTATCTTCATCTAACTATGTCTAAATACAAATGTGTAAATCAATTATCTGCTCACCACTCATTGCGTGCGTCTGTCGTGGCGCGTCTTCGTTGGTTGATATAATGGCCTATATCAACCAATTAGGAACTACTTGGAAGTGCTACAGAATATTTGTCCTTATGACAATATTCTGAGAATATAACTCTTATAGTTATATTCTATTAACAATTTCTTATAAATTGTTATGTAACGATTCACCCCGTTACATCACCCCCCTTAACCATCAGTCACTTTAGTGACTGATTGACTAAATGGATACTCGTCCCAAATCATTTGGGACAGGGTTTGCACTTGTTGGTCCGCGTCCACTTTCCAACATTTCATCGCATGGTAAACAAGCCCATGCGATGCGCGGGCTAAGCCGCCGAGAGCGCGTCTGCACGTCTCTGTGCGGACGCCGAAGCAGAAACAACAGCAACTGATGTCCCATCGGTTGCTGAAGCGAGTCCAGCCTGTATCACTTGGTGATGCAGGCGCTGGTCATGAAGACACTCGTGTCTTCACAGAGTACGAGCTCGGTGTCTCGTACTCTCCTGATACGGATGACGGATCCGTATCGACGGCGATTGAATCTAAGCCGCCTGCCAAGCGTGGCATGGACGATGCTTTGCGTCGCAGCATCTTTGGTTCATCTGATGAGTCAGATGAACCATCGCCGCGAAAGGCGCTCGAGGTCGCGAGACTCGGGCGCTAATAGTGGTGTCGTTTCTCCAATGGACACCACTTCACAGGAGAGTGCCAGTACTTCTGTCGGCACGTCGCAGGAAGAGCGGGACCGCAATGTGTTGCGTCTCGCTCCAGAAAAGAAGGCATGGATGCCTCCTAAATCTGTCATGGATCACTTGTCGGCGACGACGAGTGATCGTTATCGAGCACGATTGTTCGATTCGTCGAGGATCCATCACCTTGACCCCAGCGCGAAAGACTATCGCGCTGAACATGAAATCTTCATCGATGCTTTCTTCAGACATCGATGGCACAGTGGGAATCACAAACGTGATGGTCCCTCACTACTTCAGGCGTGGAACGCCTACATCCATAACCTCGAGGATGTAGGTCGTGACGCTTGGAACGACAAACTTATCAAAGCTCGTGATAAGTTTGAAAAGCGAACCCCGACAGGTGCACGCTATAAGCTGCATCGTCTGTCAAGGGAGAAAGGATTACCCTGCCTCTCTTGGGGGACTCGTGCCCATGTTGTGTGAACAACTCTGCACGAGCACCTAAGGGAGGCTTACCTCCTTACCAGCCCGTGGTGGCGCGTACGTGTCTCTACTGAGATGTACGAAGGGATTGACAACCTGAAATCCCTTTACGACCGTGCCGGGAAGACTTTCTCCGGCGGTCCTTCTGCGGCACAGGATGTGCCGCGTCGTACTGCTCGACCAGACCCAGTACGTCGACCATCAGGTGGGAGCGGGGCTCCCAAGAATCCCAGGACGGGGGATAGCCGCGCCACCGGACGAGATAACTCGTCCGACGTCCGTTCACGTCGCGGTGGTTCAACAGCTGCTCAACTAGATGGCGCTGGCCACCGCGAGAGTCCTCTAATGGAGGTGGAGGAGGAGGAAAGACGCTCTCCACACGATCATGTGGATCGGTGTGTTCCCGAGAGCTTCTTTGATCGCGTAACGCAAGGGTTACGCGACGATCTCGAGCATGAGCGGAATAGGCGTCTCCAAGATGGTGGACACTGCCTCGAAGCATCGAGCTGAGTTTGCCTTTGCTCAGCTTGAGAACGAGAGATCTCTGACATCTCTTCGTGACGAGCTAAGGGTAGCTCGTGGGATTGTTGATCGGTCTCGGGCTGAGATAGCTGCTCTTCAGACCCTTGTTGATGCCCACCATCAGGAGCACAAGGCTCTCTGCGAGATGCTTGAGCGCAAGGGCGTTCTTCATCGGAAGAAGCAGCGTACTGATGGTACGGCTTAAGCCGACCAACGTAAAACGTGGGATGCGTTCGCATCTTACGTGGTAACTCGATCGTGTATGCATTGCCTAGGCGGTGCAATACACGAAATGGGCCAATGTACTTGGGTAGTAGTTTACTGCTACCCAAGTTAGTCTACTACATGCTTTGGTAAGATTAACCGTAGACAGTAGGACTAAGTCACCTTTATTAAATAAAAGAGAGTGTTTGCCCTTCCATTCTTGTCAGCGTTTTGCTTTTGCTTATCCACCGCTTCGGCGATGGAGTCTTGCACAAAACGGACTACCGTTTCACGAGCCAGTATGAACTCATCTGATGACTCGTTAGCTTCAGTGTGCTGTGAGCGCACTGCAGCAACAACAACCTTTTCTTCAGTGAGGGCTTCCGCACTCTCCTGGGTCATCTTCTTCGTGGGCCCACTCTCACTGGGATCATCTTCTTCAGTGAGGGCTTCCGCACTCTCACTGGCATCATCTTCTTCGATATCGATGTTATCGATATCGGCATCAAACTCAATGACTTCTTCGTCAGGCGTGATGAGCGTGAACCAAATCGGTTTTTGCTCGCGCGAGTCCCTCCCCCCTTAAACCAGAGTTACACTCTAGTAAGGTGGGTACACGCGGATGGCGCAAGCCATTCACGTAAAACAGTGTATGTGTCGTGGACGCATGCACCGAGTTGTTGATGGCAAACTCTACCATTGGCAAAAACTCACTCCAACTCTTAAAGGAGGTGTTACGTATCCTCGAAGTATCTCTTCAAGGACACGATTGGCACGTTCCGTCTGACCATCTGACTCTGGATGATCAGATGTTGACATCTTCAAGCGCGTTCCGAGTGATTTGAACACGGAACGCCAGAAATCAACAGTGAATCGTGGATCTCTGTCTGATACGAGTTCACGGGGCAACCCATGAAGTCGGAAGATGGTGTCAATAAAGACACAAGCACAGCCACTTGCCGTGATTGTCTCTGGTACAGCCACAAGGTGTACCATTTTGCCTGAATCTGTCAACAAATACGAGAATACCCGTATTCCCGCGTGCGTCTTTGGGTAACCCGAGGACCGAAATCCATTGAGATGGATTCCCAGCACTCAGCCGGAACCGGTAGAGGCTGTAAAGGTGCACGCAGTGAAGGACTTGACTTCACTCGTTGGCAGACTTCGCATGCGCGAACATACTTTCGCACAAACTGATACTGGCGGGGCCAGTAAAAGTCTCGACTTACCGTGAGATATGTTTTCTCTCGGCCACGATGTCCTCCTATAGGAGCATCGTGATACTCGAACATGATCCGCAAACGCAGATCAGTATCATCTGGAATGACAACACGTGGTGTGTCACCAGAAACGGCTGTATAGTACAGTAAACCGTTACGAGTAGTGTATCGATCTGATGCAGATCGATACGCAGACGACAATCGTTTCAACGATTCTCGAGATGGTTGGGAGAGATGTGACAACAACTTCACTATCTCACCATCTTGGGCGTATGCCCGCCTCACATCATCATACAACGTTGTAGATGGAACTGAGGACGTCATAACCGCAACAGTGACTGTCTCACTGTTGGGTTTCGCGACTGTTTCAAAGTCGGGACGACGTGAGAGTGCATCAGCGACGACATTAAGTCGTCCTGGTTTGTACTCGACCGTAAAGTTGTATTCTGCAAAGAATGACAACCACCGCGCCATTCGTTGTGAAAGGTGCGGGCTGTTCACTGCCGTGCGTAAAGGACGCATGGTCAGTGTAAACAACGAAGGAGTCTATCTCCTAATAGATAGACTCTGAACTTCGCGAGTGCATACTTCATGGCAAGGAGTTCCTTGTCATGCACTGGATAGTTCCGCTCAGCTGGTTGCAGCTGACGCGACTGATAGCCAGACGACGCGTTCAACGCCTTCAAGATCGTACTGCATTAATGCACAGCCGATTGCGAAATCGCTGGCATCACAGACCACATGAAATGGCCTGTCCTGATCGGCTATTGCTAGGACTGGGGATTGTATCAAGCTCTGCTTGATACCCTCAAAGAGCGTTGACATTCAGCGTTCCATAACCACCTCTCGTTCTTTTTCAACAAACGGAGAGAGGTGCACAGTCATCTCGGCGTAATTGCGTGAATACTTATGCAAATACGCCGCTAGCTAGGAATTTTCGAAGACCTTTGACATCGACCGGCACAGGCCAGTCGGTGATCGCCTTGATCTTTTCGGGATCAGGACGTACACCGTTCTTACCAACGATGCACCCAAGAAGTGGTATTTCGCTTGCTGCAAATATACACTTCTTGGGGGGTTACACATACAATTGATGCTTTCGCATGATTGTCAAGAACTTGTCGGACGTGGTACCTGTGAACCTCAACGTCCGACTTTCCATCCATAGCTCGACTATGGATGAATACGTCATCGGAAATAACTCGGCGCGAATTCTCGTACTGGCCTCAACAGATGTGATACACATCTGTTGAACGTGGCAGGGGCATTACTGAGCCCTTGTGGCATTACTAGCCATTCCCAGAGCATGCCGCTAGGCGTGCTAACTGCGGTATAGGGTATATCCCGTTCCCGCATTAAGGATTTGATAGAAGCCATCCATCAAATCCATGGACGAAAAGATGGTACTCTTTGACATACCATCAATGATTACGTCCTTCCTCGGTATCGGCGTCTGAGCCGGTACCGTTGCAGCGTTCAATTTGTTAAACGCGTGCACTATCCGCCACCCTCCTGTTGCTTTTCGCACACAGAAGGTCGGAGAGCTATGTGGGGAAGTTGATTCCCTCACATGGCCCGCTGCTAAACGATCGGCAAAGAACTTGTCGATCGCAAGTACTTGTTCACGAGGCAGTGGCCACTGCTTCATGACACAGTACTTCGAGCCTGGTTTAAGCTCGACTTCGTGTCGAATACCTTTATCCTTCGGTAATTCGCACGGAACAGTTTCAGGGAATACATCCTTGAATTCAACCAAATCTTCAATAGAGGATTTTTCTTGAGCGATTCCCATGATTGGGACTCATATCGCTCAATTCGTGTCTTTTCATCTAGGACACTCTCGTCCATAGATGAACTACTGAGAACTCTCTCGTTCTCAGTAAACACTGTTGCTGACCTTATGTCGGTTACACACTCGTCGTCAGCGACGAGTATGCAGATCTGCTTGACTTTGCCACTACGCAGATCACGCAAGACAACTCTTTATGTTCGAGCGTTGGCAGCTGAGTGATCTCCGAAGTTAACTTCGGAGGCGCAATCAGATCAAGTGTATAAGCGCCTACACTTGATCCGTTATTGACTATGACATTCAATGTCTCTGTCATTTCCTGGGGACTTATTCCCTCAGGCTTCGAAGGACTTATTCCTTCGGCTTCCCGAGGGACTTATTTTTCCGCCGTATTTGTAATCTTGGGACTTATTCCCTTTACTTCCTCTAGCTGGGGTTGCGCAACCACAGCGAGATCCTCTACGAAAGACTCTCCAGTCGATCTAGGATTATCGTTTCGCTTAACCTGAGCGATCGATTGTTTCTCTTCTAGATGTTCCCCTCTAGGGATACATCTTTGTCCCCAGTCCACCCGACTTATTCGAGTGGTGGACCTTCGGCGCAACCTGTGTTTCCTCACAGCCGCCGGAACTTTGCTCCGAAGTGTAACCGTTTGGTACACTAAGGTTTTGTGCAGTCGTACTAACGACCGTACCACAAGTGAGGCCATCGCACTCACTCGTAGTACATCCACACGCTTGTGGACGCTCCAAAACGTTCATCAGATGGCCATCTGATGAACAAGCGGCGAGCATCGTTACTGTCCGATGTTGCCAGTTTACCCGTGGTTCGTACCTTCTGAGCCACGGTATTCCAGAGATGACATCAAATTTGTCATCCGAATCCAATACGATAAAGTCATCGTCGTATTGGGTATCTTCTAGCGTATAGTGGATCTTCACTATACGCTTCATATTTGATTACGGATGCGCCTGTCGCAAGACGTACCGTCATCCTCGTAGGAGGTGTGTCACATTCACTGAATTTAAAGTGACCATCTTCTAGCGATTGGCGTCGCACAAAATTGTTGGACGCCCCACAATCGACTAGAGCTCGAAGGGACAACTTATTCGTCACTTCGAGTTTCAAGTAATAGGTGAGATCTCATTACCTAGAGCAGCAACGCACAATGTCTGTGTGTTGGGAGCAGCCTTCATCAAGAGGGCCTACAAATTCTCTTGACGTTGCTGGATCAGTAGGGTGCTCCGCACCTACTGATCCTGTCCGTTTTTTGACGGTCCATCCCGTTGTTGCGTCTTTGCACCAACTGCGGACCCTCGTCCCTCTCCCTTTCTCATGGGTGGACGGTCACTACGCCCAGTGTCGCGAGACAATGGACGAGGAACACTACACTCGTAAGCGTAGTGTCCTGTCTTTTGACATCTGTTGCATCTCTGCAACTTCTTGTAGTCTGTAGAGCGAGCTTCTCACTCTCTACATAACAGAGTTCCATCGGCTCTGGACCTCCGTTGTCATATCGTCTCGGTTTAAGATATGACGTCGATCTGGCGCGAGCCTGTCTCAGACTGAAGTCTTCCTGCTCCGCAATGGAAATGGCTTGTTCTAGTGAATCTAGTTCAAGCCGGAACAGGTGAGTCTTGACGGGACCATCCGCAAGACCCTGCATGAACACCGAAACCAACGTGTGTTCATCCACCGGATTGGAACTTATACAACTCGTGAGATGTCGTATATGTTGAGCGTAAGCGTGCACATCACGCTTACCCTGCTTGAGCTTCAAGAGTTCGGTTCGAGCTCTGAACTCAGCTCTAGGCCAGTTCAAACGTTTGTCTGAGCCGCGACTTGAAGACTTCCAACGACCCAAACGCATATGGGTCGTGCAGCTTGAGCCCCAGTGCCCAAGTCTTGGCACGTCCTGCCAGATTTGACTGGGCAAATGCAACTTGCATATCCCCGTCGTCGATGCGACGCGCCCTTATGGCGTCATCCAATTCGACGAACCATCTCAAGAGGGAGTCTTCTTCGACCCCCTATACTTTGAGATGTCAATCTTCAAGGTCTCGGGTCGACGCGAGTGCATCGACCCGCCAGCAGCAGCCTGCTGCTGTCTCAACAGTTCAAACTGTTGAGCACCTTGTTCTCTCAACAACTCTGCTTGTTGAGAACCTTGTTGGTTGAAGCAAGGCTACTTTCTCGCGTTCTGCGTCAAGTTCATTTTGAATGAACTTGGCGATAGTAGCATGTTGGGCATCTCTATTGAGAGCCTCTGGCATGACGCTAACAGCATGGATGCCCATGGTCGGACCCATTCGTTCAACCGCATCCCATTCGACATCGCTCAAATGGGAGTAGCCGTCACGCGTAGCGTGAAAGCTTTGGTCATCTTCATCATCCAACATATTCATGTTGGATGTGAACGTGGTCCTTGGACGGACTACGAAGTGCTACCAGGTGTAACGGGGCACCCTGAAGCTTGTACTGGTGACAGTACAAGCTACTTATTCCTGATAACAGAATAAGGCGGTGCCTCGTAACTTCACGTACACTCGTACGTGCAGAGAGGAAGACGGTAAGAAGAAGCGAGTACTTGGTTAGAGTAAAAGTAGAACTGTATTTATAATAGTTAATGTCTGCAATAAATCACTATTTATCTTCATCTAACTATGTCTAAATACAAATGTGTAAATCAGTTATCTGCTCACCACTCATTGCGTGCGTCTGTCGTGGCGCGTCTTCGTTGGTTGATATAATGGCCTATATCAACCAATTAGGATTTACTCGGAAGTGCTACAGAATATTTGTCCTTATGACAATATTCTGAGAATATAACTCTTATAGTTATATTCTATTAACAATTTCTTATAAATTGTTATGTAACGGTTCACCCCGTTACAAAAGGTCAAATTAGGGAACAGCACCTTCAATATCGAGTCATCTCAGTGATCATGAACACTACAGATGCTCGGATCAAGCACGCCAACAGATGTGCGTGATACGTCCGTGTCAGCTCGAAGATGGAGGACATGTCAACTCAGCGCAGAGCATCTAGAGAGACGAAAAGGCTGGGTATGATCAGCGGAGAGGCGATCGCCACTCACAACATACACGCAGGCAGACAACATGTAACGGGGTAGCCTCCTACATGGAATCGATACCAAGCTGTGTCAATAGGAAAAATATTGTCTGGCGTGATAATATTCTACCGATGTTATCCGGGATGGAAATATTGAAGGAATATTATCCACTTTTAGGATAAAATTCATGCGCTGCTCAAAGATTAATTGATGTACCACACTATCAACCATAGATTGTCACCAATCGCAGCTCTAAGACGCCCGTAATGAGTGGTGAGCTGGTTGTCATCATACGACGGCGTAGTTTAAAAAAGTTGGATAAAGATTAGAGTTATACTGATAGCTTAACTAAATCAAATGCAGTTCTCTTTTTCTCTTTACTTGGCCGAGTCATTCAAGTAGAACAGCTTCCTTTTGCACGTACTAGTGGCATTGAAGTTTCGCGGCACCCCAAACAAGGGTGCCCCGTTACACCTGGTAGCACTTTGTAGTCGTCCAATGACTACTTAGTGTCCGTTCAACATGAACATGTTGGACGTAGAAGACGACAGCTTTCACGTCACACGTGAGAGGCTACTCCCATCTGAGTGACTCAGAATGGGAGGTAGTCGGCCGCATGAGTGTGCTCATGGGCGAACTCGCCATCAGTGGTATGTTGGAGTCTCTAAGCAGAGACCAGCAACATGCTGCTATCAACACGTTCCCACAAGGGGACTTGCCGTCGAAAGACCGAAGATGGCCTTGCTACAGCAGCAAGGCTCTCATCCAGAGTCGATCGGCGGGCCGACACACACGCGTCTATTCGAGAAACTTGAAGATCGATATCTCAAGGTACAAGGGAACAGATGAAGATTCCCTTTTCAAGATGGTTCGTCGAGTTAGACGACGCCATCAGGGCCCGTCACATCGAGGGGTGACGGGATGCAATTGTCACCTTTGCTGTGCTAAATTTGACAGTACGAGCAAAGACTTGGGCCTTAGGGCTCCAAGCTTTAGACCCGAACGTGTTTGAGTCGTTGGAGGTCTTGAAGTCTCGGCTCAAAGAACGTTTGAGCCGCCAAGAGCCGGGTTCAGAGCACGCTCTGCACTCTTGAGGCTCAAGCAAGGTAAGCGTGATGTGCATGATTACGCACAGCTACCTACTACTTGCGAAGTAGCGTCACGGAAAACCCTGTTGATGAGCACACGCTCATTGTGTGTTAATCTACGGCCTTGTAGATGGGTCAGTTAAGAACCTACATGTTCCAGAGGACTTCCATACGCTGGAAAGGTGACAGCTATGCGGAACAAGAGGACTTTATGCCTGAGACAGTCTCAGGCTAACTCGTGAAACTATCGTCCGACGATACGACAGGAAACAGGAGGTCCCGAACCAATGGACGCCTCTATTACATCGAGAGCTAGAACTATCGCTCTCTGAGTCACAAGCGAACGGCAAGATGCTATCGCTGTCAGAAGATGGACAATACGCTCATGAGTGCTAGTGTCCCCAGCACCCCACACGTCCAAAAGACAGGACGTAATGACCGCCGTCGGCCAAGGAAGGGTCGAGGCGTGAGTCCGATCATGTCGCTTAGCCGCGACAGCAAGTCGGACCGTCCAAAAATGGTCAGGGTCAGTAGGGGCGGGCACCCTGCTGATCCAGCAACGTCAAGAGAATTTGCAGGACTCTTGACGAAGATTGCTCCCAACACGCAGTCTCTGTGTGTTACGGCTCTAGTGATGAGAGTCTCATCACTTTGAAGATCGAAGTGACACGTAGAAGGAATCCCTTCGCGCCCTAGTTGACTGTGGTGCGTCGAACGGTTTTATTCGACGTCAGTCGCTAAGGGATAGTGAGGCTCGACTATGTTTGAGCGAGAGTTCCATCCAACGAGGATGACGGTGTGTCTTGCAACAAGCGCATCCCGTAACAGTGATGAGCAAAAGTGTAGTGGGAATTCACTACACACTAGAAGGAAAGCAGTACGATGATGACTTCATCGTATTAGATTTGGATGACAAATTCTGATGTCATCCTTGGTCTGCCATGGCTTCGAAAGTACCAGCCATGGGTCAGCTGGCAGCATCGATCCGAGAAGATGCCTGCCGTTTGTTCATCAAGTGGCCATCTGATGAACGTCTTGGAAACGTCCACAAGCGTGTGGATGTACTACGTGTGAGTGCGATGGCCTCGAATTGTGGTACGGTCGTTAGTACGACTGCACAAGATCACAGTGTAAGAAGGCCACTACACTGTGGAACCAGCTTCCGGCACCTGTGTAGAGACACAGGCTGCGCCGAAAGTTCACCACTAGACGAGATCAATAGACTGGAACACGGATGCACACCAAGAAGGGTGCATCCCAGAGAGTGTATTGTTATGGATGGACAGCACGTTAGCGAGATCGTCTGTCAGAGAATCGATCGTAGAGCAAGGCCGCTTGACTGAAAGAGTCGATCGAGAGAGGACCTGACTGTGGTAGTACCCCACAGTCAGTACATAATGGAAGTAAGTTCCAGCGCTCCTGAGAGCAATAACTCCCGAGAGGTTATGTTGAGGGTGTGGTTCCTCAACCTCCTGCGGATGTGTTTGCCCAGAAAATCACCGAGACAGTGAATGTCTTGGTGAATGACGGATCAAGTATAGGCGCTTATACATGATCTACCTCCGAAGTCAGCTCGGAGGTAATCAAGTATCCAACACTAGAATCTAAAAGAGATTCTTGCGAGATCTGCGTAGTGACAGGATCAAGCAGATCTGCGTACTCGTCACAGAGGACAGAGTACGTCGGCGATAAACGCTCGGCATAAGTGTTTACTGAGGAACGAACGGGTTCTCAGTAGCTCATCCATGGACAGAGTGCCCTCGATGAGAGGACCCGGATTGAGCGATACACGTCTCAATCTTGGGAGTCTTTAAAGACAACTCCTTTGTATTAGGATTCGGTCGGATTCAGGGATGTTTTCCTGAATCCGTGCCATCTGAGCTGCCAAGGACAAAGGCACTCGGCATGAGATCGAACTGAAACCCGGTTCGAAATACTGTGTCATGAAGCAGTGGCCACTTCCTCTTGAAAGGTCACAGCGATCGACAAATTCTTGGCCGATCGTTTAGCGGATGGTCATGTGAGGAGTCAACATCTCCCCCCCTCTCAACTTAACCTTCTGTGTGGCGAAAAGCCACATGAGGGTGGTGGATAGTACGTGTTCAACAAATTGAACGCTGCAACGGTCTACCGACTCAAACGCCGATACTAAGAAAGGACGTCATAATAGATGGTATGGCAAGAGTACCATCTTTCATCCATGGATCTGATGGATGGATTCTATCAAATCCTAATGCGTGAACGGGATATCACGTACACAGCAGTGGGCACCCCCAGTGGTATGCTCTGGGAGTGGCTAGTGATGACCACAGGGGGCTAGGTAGCGCCCCACCCCAACGTTTAACGAGATGTGTTACGCATCTGTTGCGATCGGTGCGAGATTTCGCACCGAGTTACTTCGACCATATTTTCCGTCCATATCCGGGCTACGGATGGAAGGCGGACGTTGAGGCTCATAGAATCCCACGTCCGGAAGGTTCTTACTCTTATGCGTGAGCATAAGTTGTTCGCGAACCTCAAGAAGTGTATATTCGTAGCGAACGAAATACCACTTCTTGGCTGCATCGTGAGGTAAAAACGGTACGCCCTGATCGGAAAGATCAAGGCGATTGATGGCCTGTGCCAGTCGACGTCAAGGACTTCGAAGTTCAGTGGTCAAAGCGGCATACCACAATTACTCACAACTATAGAATGACCGTGCCATCTCTCTCGTCTACTAAATAAAACGAGAGGTGGTCATGTGGAGCGCTGAGTGTCAGCACTCTTTTAAAGGCATCAAGAAAGCTCGGTGCAGCCATCGCCTTGTTGGCGATTGCAGGTCAGGATAGGCCATTTCCTTAGTGGTCTGTGACGCCAGCGATTTTGCAATCGGCTGCGCGTTAATGCAGTACGACTCCAGACGGCGTTAAGTGCGTCGTCTGTTATCAATCATCGTCAGCCCAAACAGCTCCAGGCGGAACTACTCCAGTGCATGACAAGGAACGCATTGCCATGAAATATGCACTGGCTAAGTTCCGGGTATATGTCTTCGGAGATGGACCATTCATCGTTTATACCGACCATGCGTCGTTACGCACGGCCATAAACAGGCCAACCCTCTTGCAACAAATGGCGAGGTGGCTGTCTTTCTTCGCGGTACAACTTCTCCGTCGAGTACAAACCAGGACGACTTAATGTCGTCGCGCTGATGCTCTTTTTGTGTCGGCTCGATTTCCGAGTCGACTGCATGACCAACATTAGGGG